GGAGTTTTCTGTAAATTATGTTAGACTCTTTTAAGAACTATCTGTATGGAATCAAAGTGACAACAGCGACTGGAAAAATGAGACAGGAACCTTAAGGGGCAGTGAGATTCTGTGGATGGGGGAGGAGCAGCTCACAAAAGGAGAGTGAGCGTGGTTACCCAGCTCAAAGAATGTCCTCAGTGGGACTGAGTTGTCCACGTAAAAACTGTTGGACTCGTGTTTGTTTTACTGTTTATATTCTCGTTGACAACAAAAATACAAAACAAATTATTAAAATAGCCACATCAAAGCAAAAAGACCACCGCAAGCCCGTGGCCGTTGTGCCCTCTTGCTGCTTTGCAGGGGGATTTTGCAGCCGCTGCTGCCAACCTCCAGACCTGCCTGTCGGTGCTGGGCCGGGCACTGCCCACCTCCCGCCTGGACCTGGCCTGCAGCCTCTCCTGGAACGTGATCCGCTACAGCCTGCAGAAGCTGCGTCTGGTCCGCTGGTTGCTCAAGAGGGTCTTCCAGCACCGGTGGGCCACCCCGGCTGCTGCAGCAGGCTTCGAAGACGAAGCGAAGACCAGTGCCCGGGACGCGGCCCTGGCCTACCACCGGCTGCACCAGCTGCATATCACAGGTGAGGGGTGCCCGGACCGTCTCACCCCCTCGGCGTAGTTGGCCAGTGTCCCGCCCTGATGGAAGCCCCTTGCACTCCGCCCTTTAGAGTGGTCAGACCCCTTCCACCTGCACCCAGCTGGGGAGTGGCCGTTGCTGAGGCGCATTGGCTCTGAGGTGCACCTCTCTTCACGTGATCCCAGTACTTGGTGTGTCCCAGCAGTGATGCATGTGATGGTTTGGTTGCCATGTTTTTTCCTTCTTGGTGGTACTTAAATGAATGGTGAGACTTGAGTTTGATAGCATTTGAGATGCAATGAAATTTATTTTATTTTATTCAGTAACACCCAGTCTAATAGACAGGCAGGCGGGTCTTTCTATCAGAATTGAATGAATTACAGTCTGGTGCGGTCGAGGCAGAAGGAGCCCTGTAATGTGAGGAGAGGGCACTAGCTGGGGAAGTTTCTGGAGAGGCTTTCTGGAGACCAGGTCTGGGCTCTGCTCGCAAGGAGGCATAGACTTTGCCAGCTCTGTGTACGGCCGTGATGTCCAAGGGCAGTCTCTCTGCCTGGGTGACCCTGGAGGGTAGTATTTCAGTATAACT